ATGCCCCACACAAGAGGGATGAGAGGGGCCCGAGTGCTCGGGACTTACTGCAGTTCTCCACACTGCCAGGAGAATTTGACAGGTCAGACTCTTCCTTCTGTTTGCCTTCTCCCTTCTTCTTCTACAGCTCCAGGTGCCTGGCTGTCCTCCACTTATGAGAATATGTAGGCGTCTCATAGCTCTTTTTAGTCCTTGCTCAGCCTCTTCTTTGTCTCAGCTACTGCAGGTTTGGACTGGGGTCTGAAAGACCTCGGGCTGTAATCCTTGCTCTTGTATCTCCACTGCCCACCCAGGATCAGACCAGAATTGTGTGTAGCAGCCTCAGCCTCCTGAGATGACCGAATGGAGTAGGTTGGTCTTTCTCCATTGTAACATGTGGCTAACTGCAACTTATGTGGATAACATTATTGCAGAGTATCACCTGGCAGCATCACCTATACTACAGATATTATACTCTCTGTTGCTTTCCCACAAATAAGTAGAAAACCACTATAAGTAGAAAGAATAAATTTGCAAATATCCCACATTTTCAGATTGCTTTTAAACCATTTGAGCTGCTAATACAGTATCACTGACTTGGACACTGGAGTTTCAAGGCAGATAATAGAAGACATTTGGAGTGAACTAATTTAGTATGGGATATTTCTGTCAGTAAACAAGCAGGAGCATATTCTACCAATTTAGAATCTGTAAAACTGAATGTCCACAGCAAAGGCTGAGAACACTGCTTTCTCCTTTGCCTACAGGGGTGTCCTAAAAAAAAAAAAAAAGGAACTAAGGTGAAACTTAACAGTCTCATTTTTACATATAACTAAAGTTCCTCTTCTGGGTTTGAACTCAGCCGAGGTGCTAATGAATCCTTCCATAACATCAAAAACTAAATCTCAATAACTGCATTTTAATGGGATCTTACTGATTCTGATGACAGTCCACAAAAAAAAATTTGACAATGACAGTCCAGCATTAGAATATATTCCAGGATAAGGAAATTTAGAGAACAGCAAGTTTGAATCTACCACACAGTGCAAAAAGTAAGCTTCTGAGTTTCATAATAATTAATCAAATCTGCATAAAGGTATACTATTCCTTTCAGCCCACTATGCACAGTAAAGTCATTATCTCAAAATTAAGAGTGTTTGAAGACAGTTAAAGGTAAAGTTGCCACAAACTTCACAGGAAAAATATTGACAGTAGGTTTCACTCCCTCTCACCATCTTCCCTCCTCCAGAACTAGCAAAAATAACATGAAATGTCAAGCACAACATCAAAATAATTCAAGGGTGATTTGCTGTTCCTAAAAATATTTGTAGCCACATAAACCATCAATTTCTATATTATTGCCCGGACATGTATCTGGCTGATGATGCATGCAAGCCAAAAGATATTTCTAAATCCAGCTATTTCTCTTGATGCTGCAAGCCAGAAGCACGAGTGCAGTGGGACATCAGAAAAAGGCCCTGGTGTGCTGGTGGAGTTTCTTCTTTAAGATTCAATACTGAGACTTGAATTGTGAGAATGAAAAGACCAAAGAATTGGGATCATTTGTGAATGTAGGAAGAAGGGGAAAAGGAAGATAATGGGGCATCCTGCAGAGCTGTGAAGCTAAGAAGGAGAAATTTTATCTTAATGAAGATGATGATGAAAGGAAGTGCTCAAAAAAAAGAAATAAACAAATAACACCCAGTTTAGAAAGTGTGGGTGGCAGGAAGAACAGTGACACTATTAGTCACCAATAAAAGAAGTGTGGGGACAGGTATGTTAAGAAAAATGCTGAGTTCAGTCATTACTGCACTGTGTCTATGCAGTTGCATAAAGCCAGTCAGTAAAAGAATCTTATTATTTGTCAAAGAGAGAAAATTGTCTTCAATTGTGGGCTTCAAAGGCTTTGAAAAAAGTTTTCCTGTGTTTTACACATGCACGACAGAGTTATATATCAGGAACAGATGAATTTGGGATAAGGTCAAAGAAAAGTGAATATCGGTAAATACCCTCTCCTCTCCTCTCCTCTCCTCTCCTCTCCTCTCCATTGCAGTTGGAAGGGACCTACAAAGATCATCTGGTCCAACTTCCTGATCAGTTCAGGGCAGGACAAAAGTTAAAGTACATTATTAAGCACTTTACCCAAATGTCTTTTAAACACTGACAGGTTTGGGGCATCAACCACCTCTCTAGGAAGCCTGTTCCAGGGTTTGACCACTCTCTTGGTACACAAATGCTTCCTAATGTCCTGTCTAAACCTCCCCTGATGCAGCTTTGATCCATTCCCACATGTCCTGTCACTGGACCCCAGGGAGAAGAGCTCAGCACATCCCTCTCCCCTTCCCCTCCTCAGGAAGCTGGAGAGAGCAATGAGGTTCCCCCTCAGCCTCCTTCTCTCCAAACTAGACAAGCCCAAAGCCCTCATCCGCTCCTCACAGGACATCCCTTCCAGCCCTGTCACCAGCTTTGGCCCTCCTCTGGATGCATTCAAGGACCTTCACACCCTTCTTACATCGTGGGGCTGAGCACCGCACCCAGTATTCAAGGTGAGGCTGCACCAATGCTGGATACAGCAGGATCATCACCTCTCTTGACCAGGCGGTTTCGCTGTGTTTGATCCACCCCAGGGTGCGGTTTGCTCTCTGGGCTGCCAGGGCACACTGCTGCCTCACACTGAGCCTGCTGCCCACTGGCACCCCCAGGTCCCGTTCTGCAGGGCTGCTCTCCAGCCACCCCTCTCCCAATTTAGACTTGTGCCCAGTGTTACTACATCCTCCGTGCAGAACCCAGCATATGGACTTGTTAAATTTAATCTCTTTATAATTATATTGTATTATATCAATATATTTTTTCTGCTGGATGACAATGAAGGAGCTCAGATGAAAAGAGCTAAGTATGTGGATGAGGGTTGGACATGGATATGAATATGGAAAATGGATATGAACCTTTATGTTTCAGGAGATGAGGAAACCATTAATGGCACATTCTTAACATGTTTAAGAAGACATTTATCTTTTTCATGTTGTTGCCTAATATTTTTCTCACTGATGACAATCAGACACTGGACAAGATAATCAAGTATCTAACCGATGTAGCCTGATTTGGTACGATAATTCTCTTAGGATCTAGAAACAAGTTTTTAAATTCAACTGATTTTTCATTTAAATTACTTTTATTTTTGCAAGGTTTTTTTGCAAAGTAATTCAAACTTTCTAGTTTGCTATTTTGAATGATTGTATAAAGAGCTAGGTAAAATATAGCTTTAATTTCAAATTAAAAAGGATCACAGAGACCAGCTAGTTTAAAAATGAAATTTTACAGGCAGTACATTGTATCTGAGTTTGTGATTCTTTAGTTGTAGTGAAATGCCAGTATTAGTATGCAGAAGCATTTGCTCCCTGTAAAATAATGTAGATTTCTCCAACATCTGTGGAGGAAATGATCTTCAGAGTGTTGTGGTCTACAAATCACCATCACATGACTCTATAAAAATAACCCAGTGGAAAATCTCTATTAAGAATTAAGAGCACATGTTCTTTCTCTCCAAAATCTCCCTAATTTTTATCATAGGTTTAAACAGTATCAGATAAGGAAGATATTTTTAAAGTAAATAGGGAAAAAAGAAGAGGGGAATTTCCAAACTTTAAGCAAAAGGCCTGGCTGTGAGTGCTACTTTATGGCATGCTGTACCCTTTTTATTTGTGTAAATAAATATTTTCTTTGGAGACAGCTGACAGTCTTTAAGATCATGATTTTCCTGTATTGAAGAACACTTACAGAAGCTGCTCCTCCTTTGCCTGTACCTGTCCCAAGCTCGTATGGGATTGATTTTGCATACTACACAGTAGAAACCACAGCAAGCCTAAAAAATGAATGAAATTATTAAAATGTATTCCTCTCTGTCACCCTTTCTCCCAAAGCTCTGTTTTTGTTTTTTTTTTTTTTCCTGGGCTCTGCCGAGAGCTACCCTTAATCACCTCCGGAAGGAGCTGTGCTTTAATCTTGCCACAGTTTTGAGGAAAGCCCTACTGAATTTGGTTGGATGGCTGCCTGGAGATGGGCTTTAGATCTAAATCTGCTACAGGATTCTGAGTAACCAGCTGAGAGGGGCTATTTCAGCAAAGAGGTAGTGTTCACATTGCTAGTGAGACCATGTTTAGTGTGCACAGAGAACTGCTGCATGGCTGGAACAAATCTAAGGATGGTAGAGCAGACTTTAAGTTACTTGATCATTTTCTTAGGAAGTATTTTAATAGGTGAATATATAAACAGATAAAAGAAGATGTGCACAGTGAATCAATATTCATCACTAACCTAAATAGTTTATATTGATACACAATTTTAAGCACACTTAAATAAATGGAAATATTTTCAAATCTACCCAAAACATGATACAGTATGTTTGTTCTTAACATCTCTATTTGTTACTACAGAGAGGTGGTGACCTCTAGCAGGGTCTGTATAGGGCTATAGCAAAGCTGAGACTTCAGGGTGGATGTAATTGCTACTATCAGTTTTTAAAAACCTACTGCACACCAGGGAGATGCTTTCTCAATTTTAAACTCAGTTGGAGCTATTGCATAAGCTTTAGGTGACTTGGACTTTTTCTATTGACTTTTTCAAAAGCCATTTTTAAAAGTCTTTAAAGCCAATTCAGGCTGCTTGGAACATGACCTACAGTGGGGCTTTAAAAGCAGGATTAGCAGAAATACTTTGGAATCTGGCTTGAATTTTTCATATTATGGTAGATTTTCCTAGTAAGGTGTGACATTTTATCACATAATGGGACATGTGACTTTGCACACCCACAGCAGGGCTGTCCATCTGTCCAGTGGGTCTCAGTCTGGGCTGTACACCTGTGCATCAGATCACACAACAAGGTAAGCCTGCATCATGATGCAAATCTGCACCTGAGGGCTTTGGCTTCTGGAAGGGCTCCCTGGCATCAGGCACCCGCAGCTGCAGAGCCATACGGCTCACCTGTCCCTACACAGAAGCTGCAGCAGGTAAAGAGATCTAAGATGCAGCTGGCAAACAGATCGCAGCACCTAGTGTGTGGGATCAGAACACAGGAGAGAGTCGATGTGGCTGTACAGCAAGCACCTGGCCTAGAACTGCCACAGCGGAGGATGATGAAAGAGGAATCAAATGAGTAAGTCTCACATGCAGTGCATGAGACTTGGCAGGTCTTAAATCAGTGATTCACTATTAAGTGTTTTCACTGCTTGTTAAATAAAATGGAAGCACCTCCTCCTAGTGAGAATTAATTCACTGATGTTTATCTATCTCTTTAGAAGTATAAAGTGCTATATAAATGTGTTATCAGAATGGCAAGGGGAAAATTTACCTGTGAATCCTTGGTTGCTGTGTATTCTTATCACTAGCATTTCATAATGGTTTTGGTATCAAGGTTATTGATAGGATAGTCAATGCCAGACTTCTCTGGCACAAAGCTCACAACAGCAGCTGCAGCAATCATACTTCTGTGGGTATTTTGAACCAGTAAAACAAATTTAAAAATAGTGCTTGTAATTTAATCCTTACAGATTATTACATATTACATTTTCATGAATATGTACGTTCTCCCATACTTCTACCCACAGAATTTAACCTATTTGGTATTAATTCTATACTTCTGTGTAACTGGATCCTTATAGAATATCTTTCTATATACTAAGCCAAGGGTTGTTTGTTGTTTTTTTTTTTTTTTCCATTCATTTTATGATTATAAAGGAATTCTACACAGGCTGTAATTTTTCTTTGATTGTTAAATCTGCTATTGAGCAATTCCCTTTCTGATGATTTGCTGAGAATGCAATGGAAAAGGGAGACATTTCTGTCATATCTTCCAAAACAAGACAGAACATGCCCAGAAGTACAGTGCAGATACAAGTAGAATTCAAAACAAGTTCTGTAACATATTTTATACATAATTCCACATTCTATATGAGAAATGCAAATTTCTAGATGGCCCTGGCTGTGTTACAGTTGCATTGAGGTCTCTTAAGAGCTCATGAAGATTTGATTTTTTCTCAATTAGATTCCTGGCCCTTAAATTTTCTTTTACAATAAGATGTTTTTATTGCACAATAGCAGAGTGATAGGGCTTATAAAGAGTGTAGACTTCATTTCCTTGAATTGTACAGATGTTTTACATTGTCAAGGTGGTTTAAAGGGGCCTTATCATAATAAAAAAAATTAAGCCTTTGATCTTGTTTTTGCCAAACACTAGCAGTATGTGTGGTAGAAAGTTAATTTCAGTGTTAAAAGTCTCAGGTCTGCATTTACGATCAAATGTACTCAGGAATCCACTAAGATGGAAAGTTTAATTATCTAGACAGTTTGGAAATTTGGCATAATTTGTTCAAAACACTTCTGGAAACCTTAATTTATTCATTTGATTATATACAATATTTACAAATAAAGTTGTAAAGTAAAAATTGGCACATGTACTACCAGGTTACTCTGTTAAGTACCTCTGAGCTTCAAATTAGAATACTTATACACCTAAATATATGGTGTCTCAGTTGCTATGTGATCTTCAGATGTGCTGAGGTTTCCCCTAATGTCATTTAAAGTCAAGGAGGACCATAACACTAAGCAAATCTAAAAGTTGCATGCAAGCAGTTTTAATGTCTCCCTACCATATAGTAAAACTCCAGTCCAGGCAATCACTAATAGTTTTAATGAATCTCATGATACAGTAACATGGGGGTTTTGAGAGCTCATCTAAAGTTTATGTGACAGTCTCTTTTTTTTTTTTTTTTTTTTTTTTTTAATAATAAAAACCTTGAAAATATTAACAGAATGTACTTTACAAGCCCCAAACTCCCAAAGAATAATAAAGAGGGACATAACCTAAAAGGTGTTTTGTATAGATGAATCAATACAACATTCTAAGTAAATCTCTGATTTAGGCTGTAGGCTCAATTTTATGTGTCAAGTGTCTTCCATATATTGAAACTAAGCAAGAGCTAAAGGTAAGTGGGAAATGGCTGACAGAAACAGGATCAGAATAAAATCTTATAGAAGTATTTTGATGCTAATTTTCTGAAGTTATTCCCAGTTTATAGCTGTGCTAATTGCTCTTCTGTATTCTGCCCTCAAAATACTGTATTTGTGGCCAGCCATGGAATCAACAACTGCAACTTTCTGTGCTGTGGAAAACCAAAGGCAACTCCTACTGTTGGGCATCCAATATTATCCTATCCTGAAATTCTTCACATACAGTTTGTGGTGTCTGATATACACTGTCAACTTTCTAAAAAAGGTTCTTATTCATTACTAGACTTCAGATTGCATATTCTAAAAAAATAATCTCATATCCTGGTTTATGTGTTACGTGCCATGTTAAACAACAAAGTCTCAAATCTCAAGTACATTTGTATCTGTGCCTTGTGATGTATTTTTTAAAAAGAGAGCATAGTAAGCTTATAGAATTGCCAAAAGGAAGAGGTGAGGCATTACTCAGGGGTCAGTTTTGGGACCGATGCTGGTGACATGGGGCAGTGGGATTGAGTGCACCTTCAGCAAGTCTGCTGATGATGCCAAGCTGTGTGGTGCAGTCGACTCACTGGAGGGAAGAGATATGCCATCCAGAGGGGCCTGGACAGGCTGGAGAGGTGGGCCCGTGCAAACCTCATGGAGTTCAACCAGGCCAAGTACAAGGTCCTGCACATGGGTTGAGGCAATCCCAAGCACAAATACAGGCTGGGTGATGAGTGGATTGAGAGCAGCCCTGTGGAGAAGGACTTGGGGGTATTAATGGATGGAAAACTAACTATGGGACAGCAATGTGCTCTCACAGCCAAGAAAGCCAACTGTATCCTGGGCTGCATCAAGAGCAGTGTGGCCAGCAGGTTGAGGGAGGGATTCTCCCCCTCTATTCCACTCTCAGGAGACCCCATCTGCAATGCTGTGTCCAGCTCTGGGGCTTCCAACATAAGAAGGACGTGGACCTGTTAGAGCAGGTCCCAAGGAGGGCCATGAAGATGGTCAGGGACTGGAGCACCTCCCTTATGAGGACAGGCTGAGAGAGTTGGGGGTGTTCAGCCTGGAGAAGTCTCCGGGGAGACCTTATAGCAGCCTCCCAGGGCTTAAAGGGGCAACAGGAAAGATGGGGAGGGACTTTTTACAAGGTCATTTATTGATAGGACAAGGTGTGGTGGCTGTAAACTGAAAGAGGGTAGATTTTTTGTTGGATCTAAGGAAGAAATTCTTTACTATAAGGACAGTGAAACACTGGCACAGGTTGCCCAGAGAAGCTGTGGCTGCCCCCTCCCTGGCAGTGTTCAAGGCCAGGTTGGACGGGGCTTTGAGCAACTTGGGCTAGTGGAAGGTGTCCCTGCCCATGGCAGGGGGGTGGAACTAGATGATCTTTATGGTCCCTTCCAACCCAACCATTCTGTGATTCTGTGACATACATAATGAACACAAGTGAACACAGTGCATTTTTTTGGTCATATATATTGAAGAGTTTGTTCTTTCTCCTTATATAATCACATAACTAGCTTGTATATAGGAGAGACAGAAATCCGGCAAAATTGTGTTGCAATGGCTGGTATTACCACTGCTGATCATTTATGTTGCTTGTAGCAATGCCAAGAGCAAAACTTCTGTTCATGATTCCACTTGTATTTTGAAGTGGCATTGCAATCTCCAGTTTGGAAACTGCTTCTCTGGAGAACACGACATCCTTAATATGTCTACTGATGAACATTTGCTTTAGATCCTTAACATCATGTCTGCTTTACCACCTATTTTTGTCAAGTACAATGTGCTTTCAAGCCCTCCAAAGGAATAATATTGTAAAACATTTACAAAATACATTTGTTAGTGGAAATACAGCAGAAAATTACAATGCTTGGTATCAACAAATAGGTCCTATGGTGATTCATGACTAACAACCTCTAGAAAAGTATTTGCTTCTCCCTCAGATGCAGTTCATGTGCAAAACCCTATTAATATTATTTTTCTGGCCAAAATACATAGTTTTGAGAAAAATACCAGTTCTTCTTCACATAATAACATGTACTGACATGACAAGTTTATATTCTGGATTAATTTGAGAGTAAAAAGTGTAAAAGAATGTGATAAATATGGATGAAGTTGGTCTGGACTGTGGGATTTACCTTCTGCCACATGCCCGATACAAGACGCAGGATCCCTTGTTCTGCACAAGTTGGTAGAAAAAGCAGAGGAAGTAAAAGTGAAGTAGCATTTGAGGACAAGGTAGTATATCTGTGCTTTAAAGGTGGTTTTGAGTGAAACTCATTGGCTAAAGCTTATGCATCCGGAAGTTAAGCACTTAAGTCATAGTGACTCCCAGCTCCCTTTACAGTCAGTGCTGATAACCAGGCATGAATAGAGGGTGGTTAAACTCATCAGACAGACCTCTGAGGTAACTCAAGTGAATTGCCCTCTGGAGGTGTCTGCATCCCTTCCCGTCTGTGTTGGGAGCCCAGACACCTACACATAGACACCTACACTGTAGATGCCACCATAGATACCTAAAAAGTTAGATGTCTAAATCTGAACTGGTTGCTCTAGTCTATATAGTCCATGGAAATCTGAAATTCAGGCAGTAAAGCCCAGGAGGGAAATTACAGATCAGACCTACTAAGGAGACTGATAGAAAATATACAAGGGTAACACAGAGTTAAAACTGTACAAGTTTATGTTGCTGATCCAGATCACGTAGGCTTCAGGGAGTAAGAGGCAAACTTCCAAGAGGCAGCACAAAGATGAAATGCAAGAAACAGATGACCTAGCATGCCTGGCAGAGATCATTGAGGTCTAAGCAATACTGAGGCAGAGTAATAAAATAAAGTCAATAGCTTCTTGGATTACATTGCTGTAAAGAAATCAGGGAGGACAGGCTCTAGCTGTCCTTGCTATGGGCAAGCAGTCTTAAAAAGTAAGGAGCATTGCTGGGGGCAAAGTTTTGCAAGCAATATAAAAAGACACTGGAATAAAACAAACAAACAAACCAAACAAGAATAGAAATATAAACTTGCAGTTCATTTTCCTGTTAAAACATCAGTATAAACTGAATGGTTATGGAGTAACTGAGTGATAGAGGTCATAGCTCCGTTGAGTCTATTTATCTTCAGGCACCTAAAAGTTTGGCTCAAACCCTCTGTTTACCAAATA